TACCTGGACACCACGTAGTCAGCCTCTTCGGTTGCTGGCATCCTCGTGGCCTCATCTTTGATCAGGTCCACACCAACGAAGAGCCCAACGCCCCTGGAGCAGAAGGTGACAGCTCAGAGGCCAGGCCTAAGGGACTGTGGTCTTTGCTCTCACCTACTGCCTGGGCCTCAGCCAAGCCCCTATCAGTCCCCCAGGGCTTGGCCCTTTACCTCTTGGGGAGGCCTAGAGCCAAGGGACCCTTGAAAGGTATGAAACAGTCCCAGGAAGTGGGGAGGGGCCCTTGATGTGGACACAGGGAAGTCTGTCCTGGCTTCAGCCCCGCCACTCCTTGCCCCCAAAGTGCCACCTTGGGCAACAGCATCTCTTAGTGCTTCGTTTTCTCTGTGGAGCGGAGATCAAAGTCCCCCCTGTCCCAGGTGGTTCGCTCGTGGATAGTGACTGCTACTCTGGGTCTCACCTGATGTCCCCAAGGATGGGATGTTTGGCTTTCTGCTGCCCAAGGAGCTCCATCAGGAAGCTGCCCACAGAGGCGGCGTGAGCCTGCAGCTGCTCCTTCTCCAAGACATCCAGGACGGCCAGTCCCACAGCGCAGGACACTGGGCTGCCCCCAAACTAAGCCAGGGGACAGAGAGCATGTCAGATGCCCAGCAGGGCGGGCCATGCCCCGGGGAGTGTGAAGGGCAGGAAACTGCCACACACATTCCAAGGGCAGTGGCGAGCACAGGCCCGAATCCCACAGGGCTCAGCATGCGGGCAGTAAATGGGCTTCTCCTGAGGCCCTCTTGGGTTGTCCCACCTTCCCAGGTGCTAATGTGACAGTAACTCAGGTCAAGTACCCCCAGGGGTGCAGGAGGAGCCCTGAGGAGATGTAAAAATCAGAGAGGAAGGTGTACTGGGCATTCCCACAGAGCTGGTTTTTGTCGAGAGGCGTCAAGGCCCCACCTTGTGGGCTGGGCCCAGACCCACAGCGCTGCACTATTCCCGTCACCTCCTTCCGGGAGGGTCGTGGGCAACACGCCAGAGCCACACCCAGGAAGAGCTGTTCTGTGTGGTTCGAGCTCACGGCTCTGTTGGCTGAGCCCAGGGCAGATTTTAGGGTGTAAATCACAAGCTGGCTGCCCGTGAGCCAAACGGGGCCTGAGGGTTCACTTTGTTTGGATTGTGTGGCATAATTAAGAGTTTTGAATTAGGTGCTAATGTTTTAAAAGAAGAGACTTCACACAAAAATGTGTTTTTCTGACTTAAAACAAACCTGGCCTATCTGGCTACACTGGCACTGGCTGTCCCTTCAGGCACCCTCAGTGCTTTGACTGCAGGTGTCTGAGTAAGGACCTGCACCGTAGGCCTCCACTGCTGGCCCAGGCAACCACTGACCTGTTTCTGTCACTGCAGTCTTGCCTTTTCTGGAATGCCATACAAATGGAAATCACAAAATATGACCCTTTTGTGCCTGGCTTCTGCTCAACAAGTTTTACAAATTCATCCATACTATTATATGCATTGGTAGTTTGTTCATTTTATGACTGCATAGTATTCCACTGTATGGACATACCACTATTTTTTAATCCAGATTCCTGTTGATAGACCTTTAGCTTATTTTGATTTTGGGCTATTTATGAATAAAACTGTTATGAACATTTATAACAAGTCTTTTTGTAAACGTAAGTTCTCATTTGTCTTAGGTAACTTAGGAGTGGAATGGCTGAACTGCTTGATAAATGTATATTTCTTTATAAAAAAACTATGATAACTGTTTTCCAAAGTGTCTGTATTATTACAACCCTTGTTACATTCTCACCACTCAGTCTGTGAAACTCCAGTAGCTCCACATCCTCAAAAACATTTGGAATTGTGGTCTTTTTAATTGTAGCCATTCTAATGGGTGTGTAGTGGTATCCTGTAGACCATCTTGAAAATTTGCATTCAGAACCTCATACTTGAGATCATAAAAAGCTTTCTAGGTGATTCTCCTATGAGGCAGCTTTCTGATACGTCCAAAGCAAACCATGTGTGGAATGAACACGGGATGGATTGAGGCTACTTATTATATAACATTATTAACTGTGAACTTGTTAAAAGGTGGCATGTCTATCTACCAAGAGCATCTTTGGTTTAGAATCATGGCCTGGCCAACATATACTTAAAAGCCTCAAAATACAGGAAGGAAAAAACGGATCAGTTTTCATTATAGTGTGAGATTTCAACACACAGTCCTCAATTACTAATAGGTAGGTAGGAAAAAAAAATCCAGAAAGAATCCAGAAGATTCAAACCACACAACTGACAAGTCCGACCTAAGAGACATCCAGAGTCTGGTCAACATTCAGGGAACACATTTTTCTCAAGGATATGTAGTGCAACCAAGTACCAGGTCACCGCAACACATTTTACAGAATAAGTGTCAAAAGAAGCAGCATCACACGAGACAGGCCCTCGCACCTCAGTGTCAGTCAGAAGTTAACAAAAAGATCTGAAAAACCTAGAACTGAATGAGAACGCAGTGGTTCTCAAACTTTTGGTCTCAGAATCCCTCATCACTCTCAAAAATTATTGAGGAACCCGCAGAGCTTTTGTTCATGAGTTATATCTATTAATATTTGCTGTACAGAAATTAAAACAGAAATTTGAAAAATATTAATTTTAAGAATTTAAAATATGCTATTTAAAAATAATGAAAACCCACTGCATGTTTTCATAACATATATTTATGAAAAATAACTATTTCCTAAAAAGTTAGCGAGCAGCGGTGGCCTTGTTTGTGCAGAAGCCACCGTGGTGCTTCCTGGCCATGCAGCCTTCACTCACCGTGTTGAAGTACTCGACGCCAGTGGCTTCAAATGCCCTCGCCACAGCTTGGGTTGTGGCCACGCAGGCCACAGGGTGGCCATTGCCGATGGACTTGCCCATGGTGACAATGTCAGGGACAAAGTCTTCCCCCTGCAGCTGGAAGGCCCAGAAGTGCTTGCCCACTCGGCCAAAGCCCACTTGAATCTCATCTGCAACAAAGACCCCTCCGGCCCTGCGGATGTGCCTGTGGCAGAGGACACACAGCTGATGGGGGACTGTGGTGAGAGGGGGCAGCCCGGGAGTTGGGACTCTTGAGTTCTGACTCTGCCAACAGTAAGGTGCGCAGGCCTTAGGCAGATGGCTGGCCTTCTCAGAGCCACTATTTCCTCAAGGACTTGACTGAAAATTCCAGCAAATAGTCCAGGCTGAGGTCGGAATGTGGAACAAAGGCTGGGAAACCCCACTGCAGCCCTGCCCTCCCTGGGGCAGCCTCTCCCACGTACTCACTCCGCCACTGCCGGGAAGTAACCAGCAGGGGGAACGATCTGCCCTCCCACACTGGGCAGAGACTCTGCGAAGAACGCTGCGATCTGTGGACGAGAAGGGAGTGCCACCGTGGGGGGGCTGGGCGGCAGGCTGAGGGCGTCCTGCTGACGCTGGCTCAGTGCTGGCGCCCAGCAGGATGAGCTACTGTCCTCGCTACGCCCTGACTTCAGGCTCCCATCATGTCTCACGGTGTGTGACGTAGCTTTCTTTCAGGCCTCAAACCAACTCTTAGCACCTGGATGCCTCCAGCCCGCTTGCGCTTAGCATGCCTCAGGTGAAATCTACCAGCCTCTCCCGAATAGGCCTGCTCCTTCCCTTCCCCCACACGGTGAGTCCCATCCCTCCCACCCAGGACAGCAATCTGGCCCTATTCTTGATTCAGCCTCCTCCTTCACCCACCAGTCAGCACAGCCTCTGACTGCTCCTGTGACATCTCTGCACCCATTCCTTCCCCTCCGCCTGGACAGACCTGCCAGCTTCTGCCCTGGCCTCCTGCAGTGCTTTCTAACTGGACCTCTTCCAGCCCATCCTGCACGGGCCACCAGGTGACGCCTCAACCAGACCCTGAGCTCATCACTGCCCTGTTGGAAACCCTTCGATGACCCTTTTGCTTACAGAAATGACAATGACAAAACTGTGTTTTGCCTTGGAGCCGCTTCAGAGGCTACTGCTGGGACGAAGGGAGGACGGGGGTGGGAAACTGATCCCTGACTCATGCTGCCACCAGAGCGATCTCTTTCCTGGTTTTATATAAGTAGGTGCAGATCATCTGAAACGCATAGGCCAGGCTTCCCAAATCCAGCTCTGCCAGCCTCTCCCAGTTGTCTTAGCTGTATGTCCTGTGTTCAGCTGTCACTCCTTCAGCAAAGCCCCCTAGAGCCCTCACACCAACTGCTGGCCGCCTTCTCTCCACTGTCGCCACGGCTGCTGCTCTTCCAGGGTATACGCCACATCTCTCCTGTCTCTGCCCCACCCTCCGTCTCCACTGTGCTGCCCTGGGTGGGTCTCCCCATCGCTGAGCCGGGCCAATACAGCCCGACACCTGTCACTGTCTTCATGTCTCTGGCCCTGTTCAGGTGCATCCCTTGGTCTTATTACTCTCCCTCTTAAAACCCTGTAAAGGCTCCTCGGCCAGAGGGGCACTTGCATCCTCTGGCCTACAGTCCTGCCAGCCTCTCCAGGTTGATCTCCTGCCTGCCCAGCCTGGCCCACACTCATGCGGTGCCTGCAGAGGCTGCCCGTCTGTTGAGGATGCCTTTCCTTGTCTACACCCCACCCTACCTGAGTGGGTAACTCCTACTCACTTTCTATCACTGAAATCAGGCAGCAACCCCTCCACGGGCCTGCCTTCACACCCGCCCAGTCCAGCCTGGGCCCCTGGGCTCCAGTAATGCCTGGGACATATCTCTGCCTAAATTCTCTGCTGAGCACTTAATCCCCTGCTAGATTCCCACAGACAGGCCCTGGTTCCGATTTCTTTCAAGATTCCCAGGACCCAGCCCTGGGCTGGCAACACTTGCCGCTTCCTGGACCAGACCTGTGTGGATGTGGTTACCTTCCTGCCCTTCTCCTGCGCACTGCTGACCACACGTTTCACCTCGCTGGCGTAGGCCACAGCCGGACTGGGGTGGTCCTCACGGTAGGGGCCCCGGTAGGTGTCTGGGAGAGGTGCCTGCGGGGAGTGACAGCACCACGTCACCCAGGCTCGGGCGTGAGCACCGGCCTGTTGCCCACTGGGGCAGCGCATACCACGTGGACCCACTCCTTCTGGCCGTCCAGGTCCCGGAACTTGTAGGGACTGATGTCGATCAGGGAGCTCAGGTGACCGTGATAAGCACTGGGGAGGAGAAGGGAGAGGGCTCTCAGGTCCCGGTGACACGTCCTCCCTGGCCTGGCCCTGACAACTGTCTACCCACATCAGAGACACTCGGGAAGACCAGCCTTTCTGACACAGCCCCCAAGCCCTAGGGCCGGGAATGAGCACGGCCCTCGGAGTCAGCAAGCCTTCCGGCAAGGCTGCTTACTAGCCATGTAACGGTGGCCAGTCACGTGCTCTTGGGGTCCAGTTCTCTCCTCTGTAAAGTGGTGGCGGTGGGGTTTCTCCTTTGTGGTTATAATGAATGTTAAATGTGACAATCTTGGGCTGGATCTTATGCACAGGAGAGACTCAATACTGTTGGAACTGTTCTGAGAGTTAAAATGTGGGACCAACTCTCATCATCTTCTAAAGCAGTCTCTGCCCTGCAGAAGAGAATACTCTTCCATACTCTGCCGTCACAGAAGGGACGCCCAGAGTAAAGAACTGCCTGGGGAGGGTGCAGGGGTGTCTCTATGGCCAGGTCCTCATGCTTCTCTCCAGAAGCCCAGGCCCTTCACCTTTCCTAAGGCACCCCAAATCAGATCCTCGCCAATTCCCAATAAGCGGCGGGCCCAAGCACTGGAAACAGCACTTACTGGTCCAATACCACCACATCCCAGTGTCCTGTGTACTGGCGCGCCAGCCTCAGGGCCAGGTCATTGGCTTCTGACCTATGGCAGAAAAGTTGGGCACTGCTTGGACAGCTGTCCAGGGCCTTTCCCTCCTGGATAACTGCTTCCTACAGAGAAAGCAGGAGGGAAGGAGGAGCCCTTCCAGGAGCAAGAAGATTCTCAGGATACCATCTGTTAGTCATTCATTTACTCATTTGGTAAATATTTATCAAATGCCATTTGTTGCAATGTGGATGGATCTAGAGATTATCATACTAAGTAAGACAAAGAAAGACAAATACCATATGATATCACTTATATGTAAAATCTAAAAAAATGGCACAAGTGAAATTATTTACAAAACAGACTCATAGACTAAGAAAACAAATTTATAGTTACCGGGGGGGAAAGGGATAAATGAGGAGTTTAAGATTAGCAGATACCAATTATTATACACAAAACAGATAAACAGCAAGGTTCTACTGTACAGCATAGGAAACTATATTCAATATCTTGTAATAAATGATAATGGAAAAAACCTGAACCTTCTGATGGCTTCTCAGTGCTCTTAGGATAAAAACAGATTCCTCACTTGATGATAAAGCCCTGGGTGCTGGACCTTGCCTCCCTCCCCAGTGTCTGCTCCCATCCTGTGCCCTTCCTCACTGGCCGCCTTTTGGCTCCTCAAGTGTGCCAGGATGCCAGTACCCTTCCTGCCACAGGGCCTTTGCACAGGCTGTTCCATGTGGCGACCAACCATGACAAAAGCACTTCCAATGGAGCGAGCAGCAGCACCCTTCCTTCCTCCTCACCTAGTCATCTCCTAGTCAGCTCTTAGCCTAACATCACTTCTTCAGGGAGGCCTTCCCTGACCTTCTCAGGGCATGCCAGGTCCCCTCATTGCTTCTATGCCTCATTATTCCCGGTACTTTTCTGCCAGACAATGACCCTTCTTATGATTTTGTATTTCTCTGAAGAACCTTTGATGTTTGTGTTCCTTATGGAGCAGGGGTTTGGGTTGTAGCTCCCAGCACTGTGCCTGTGTACTCATAAGCACAGGTGCCCGGCACACACTTGGTGGGCTGCCTCTCCCCACACTCAGTGGGCTACACTATCCTGCACCCACGTAAGCACATCTCTTTATCACTGTCTCACCTTTCTGCTGGGGGCTGGCTGAGTGCACTTACCCAGAATTCAGGAAATAAAACACACAGAGCTTCTCTGGCAGGGTCTCTGACAGCCTCTGCGCATAATCCACGATGTTGTCGTGCAGGTATCGGCTGTTGGTGTTGAGCACCTGGTTCTGTTCATGGGCTGCTTGGACCACAAGAGGATGACAGTGCCCAACTGCAAGAGAGCCACCTCCATCACACAGCTGCCAATCCCACCACACCTGGCCTCCCCCAGCCCCAATCTGTAGACCCAACTAGTGGAGATGCAGTTACGGAGGGAGAGGTGGTGAGGAAAGAGGGAAGCCTGAAGACAGACGGGCCAGACAGAGATGCTAGTCTAGAAAGGGAGACCAAGAAAGGGGTCCCTGAGATTCTGGCAGAAGAAAAACTTCTCTGGCAGAAATCTAATCTAGGAAATCCATGTTCTTAAGGAAGCTTGTGGCCTTCTGCTTAACAAAGACAAAGGGTGTGGGGTTTGGGGGATGGAGAGGGGTACGGGTGTTTTTTGGTGGGCTGGACTTCACCAATCAGTAGGGCGGGAGGTAATGACTGCCAAGGGCCAAGGATTATGAGAACAGTATTGAGGGCTCACCAAGTGCCAGGCACACTCTAAGCAAGTTACATGAATTAACTCACTTAATTCTCCAAAAACACCTGGAGGTGTGCACCTAGTGTTAGCGTGTCTATTTCGCAAATGAGCACAGAGACTTAAGAAATTCGCCAGAGATTACAAAGTCAGCAAGCGGAGAACAGGGATATGAACCCAGGCAGTCTGGAATTAGAACCTGTGTTTTTAACCTCTACTTTATTAACCTCCAATTTGCCTGCTGATTCACTGGACTCCCTTTTCTTCCATCAGCTCTAGTGGCCTCATCTGGATAACTGCATTCCTACTTCAGTTTCCTTGTCTAGGACCAGAGATTACCCTCAGGGCTTGGCCAGGGCCCTGTTGGGTTGCTGGTCATGGCCGGGCCCACTGCTGTTCTCTGAGCTCACGGTCACTCCCAAGCAGAACTAGACCCCCAGACCTAGGTCTCTGACCCATGCTGGTTTAGCACAGCTACTGCTTGGAAACTTCTGCTACTCTGGAAAGTCTAGGCCTTCCCTGCACATGGATGCTGGCTAAGCTGAAGCTGAGTTCTCTGTACTTCTCTGCAACCTGAGGCTCACCCCTGGACCAGGTTCTCAGTCTTGGCGTCCTCTCCTGCCCCATCAGCCAGGTATGATACTGACCGTGAGCCACATTGTTGATGCAATCGATGTATTCTGTCCCCTCTTCATCGTACATGTACTGCCCTTGGCCTCTGACAATCTTAATAGGATCCTCAGGAAAAAAGAGTCTGCAGGAATTGCTGTGGGGACATGCAAGGAATGGACAGCCATGTCTGAAGACCTGAAGAGAGAAATCCACCCACCCCAGGCCTCCCCCACCCCTTCCCCACTTCCGGAAAGGACAAAAGCTTGAAGGGCAAAATGCTGCCTCCCTGCCTCCGGAGCCCACAACTCCACTGGTGGCTGGAAAGGAGAAAAGGGATGGGATAAGAAATTGCTAAAACTTTAAAACAGTTTCTTAAGTCATTTGAAGGCTATGTGGCTTCATTCATTCCCGTATGTGCCCACTAGTCTCTTAGGTCCCAGAAAAGGTGCCTGCCTCAGACCCAAACAGAATCCCTATGACAGTGTTTCTTCGCTGGGAAGGGTGAGAGGAGGGCCACCCGGCTCTAGGGCCCCAGACGACAGCTGCCCGCTGGGGGCCAGCCCCAGGCTCTAGCCCGAGGCTGCCTCCTGCCCCACGTCCCACCGAGAGCCCCTCTCGCACAGGTCGAAGGCGGACTTTCTCTAAGGCTGCCTGTGAGCCGACCCTCCACCCTCACTTCGCCTGGACTTCCAGTCCCTTCCCGGGTCACTTCCCGGGGCCCGGCAGCGGCTGCGGGTGCGGACAGAACGCTGC